AGAGTTTGCGCGAAGAACAACGTGAGGGAGAGAAATATCGAGAGAGAGAGAGAGAGATATATATTTGTAGTGTATGTATGTAGTCAGTGACCGCTCACACCCCCTCCCATATTTATATCTAGGTTAATTAGGACTGAAGGAATGTGATTAAAGTCCTATATCTCACGGTTCAAGATCAATCTCCCAAAGGCGCAGGTTAGTGGGTTGGGTCGCAAGCAGACGGGTCAATCGCGGGTCGGATCATGTGGATGGGTCATACCATGACTACTTTGGGTTACAATTTAATAATGTGTATGTTTGGTGCGTCGATACAATATTGGTCTAAAAAATAATTACAGACTAAAATTTTATTAAAATCCTCCTCCTAATTTTGGATATGGGAGACTAATGTCATCATTGTCCAATATATTGGATTACTTACCTTCACAAACAAAAAACATTAAAAACAAGTTAGTCATAAATGCATTAATTTAGCCTACAAATGTATCAAAGTATAGAACTTTCAAACAAGCTACATATTTATTAATTTCAAAAATATTGTATCCACAACAACAGGCATATTGTCAAATCTGTGAATGTGTCATACAATCAAAACATGCAGCACACAATATACAAACAAACACAGTAACAAGTTGTCCCCGTAAGGGAGGCCTGGTGGTGTGCGGGTTGGACGTATGACCGTGAGGACATGGGTTCAAACCTCCGACGCCTCAGGTCACCTACCACACATGGTTTGCATGTTGATTATCATTAAATTCAAAACGAAAATAAGATTTTACATATTTATTTTCTCCATCTTCTATACCAATCAAATTATACTCCACCTTATTTAAAACATTCCTAAAATCTGTATTATTTTTAACAATTTCAGTAACAACCAATTTAGATTCTCCAATATTCAAACATAGTTCATTAAATGTCACATTTTTACTAATAATAGTTTAAAATTCGGGTTTAAAATTTAACCACAATCTATACCCTGTAACACCATAATAAAAAAAAACAATTTTCGGTTTTCATTTCTAAATCATCAGTGCAAATATGTCTCACAACAAGACACTCAAACACACAAATATTAGATATGTCGACTAATCTACCCAACCACGTACTTTCAGGAATTTCACCGTTTCGGGGATAGAGGGTGCTCGATTTAAAAGGTATGTTACTGTTACAGTGGTTTCGCCCCAAAATTTTCCAAATAAATTGGATGAAGTCAAAAGACTTCTAACTTTCTCCAAAAGAATCCGGTTTAGTCTCTCAGCCACCCAACTAGATTGGGGTGATCTAGGGACAAATTCAAATTTAATACAATTTTGCACACAAGATTTAGTGAACCATGTATTACAAAAATTTAAACTATTATTTTGCCAGTTTTAACTTAAATTTAAATTTTCCAAATTTTGAAATTTTTGAACAAATCATGTTTATTTTTCAATAAGAAAATTCAAATTTTTCTTAAAAAATCGTCAACTACAATTAAAATATATCTACTCCCACCCTGAGTTGGTTCATTAGAAAGATTACATATCTAAATGTATATATTCCAAAATATGTTTTGAAAAATATTTTATAAATCTCATATTTTCGGATCAGTATACTAAAATTTGAACCAATCTGAAATCTGTAATATAATATTTTAATAAATATAAATTTTCATAGAATACAAATTTAAAATTATTTATTATATTTTAATATAATTATTTTATTTATTATATATTTAATATATTATAAAATAATTATAAAAATATAAAATAAATTTTAAAAAATAAAAAATTTTGAATTTTGAATTTTCCCATTTGGATTGGATTTCAAATTTTCAAATTTTAGTTATTTCCGTTCAATTTGAATTTATTTTTTCAAAATAATACTAATTTTTGGATTGATTCGAATTTGACAAAATCAGAACAAAAAAATCTAAATGCTCATTTGTAGTTGCATATACAGTAAATATGTATTGTAATGAAAGCAAGACAATTAAATTATGGGTAAATTTTTAATTTTTTTTTCATCCACATAATCTTTTATCACTTTAGAATGTTATGTAGACCTTATATAGGATTAAAATGTAATAAAATTAGGATGTCAACGGGGCAGGTTCGGGGCAGGTTCTGCAGGCCCCGAGACCCGCCTAGCTAAAAAATATTAGGCTCCGAGACCCGGCCCGCCCGGCTTCCACTCGGCCCTAGGACCCTGGCCAACACGGAAAACCCGTTTTTTTAAAAAATATATAATAATAAATATATTTTTAACAATCGAATACTAAAACAAATGGCATTAAAAGTACCAAAAAAAATCTGAAAATAATCAAATATTGATCCATAAAAATAAGATAAAAGTACGTAAAAACACAATGCAAATATAAGAATTTAAAACATCAAATAGTCAATTCTAACATGCTTCGACATCAAAGTCTTCATCTTCATCTAGCATTGTAGGAGGACAACTTTTTGATCCAACGGTCAATCCACTAGTACCTAATTTAAAATATATATATATATATATATACATATTGTATTGGCGCTGGCGGGCGGTGTTGGTCAGTAGAATACAAGTAGATGAAGATGGAAGACGGCAGCAGTCGCGGTTGAAGAAGCAAAAAAAGACAACTAATTGAGTTTTATGTTTAAAATTATTTAAATAAATAAATAATATATTTTTATTATATAAATATACATATATTAGGTATAATAATTTTTAAAAGTTACTTGGGACAGCCAACTAATTGAATTTTATGTTTAAAATTATTTAAATAAATAAATAATATATTTTTATTATATAATATACATATATATTAGTTATAATAATTTTAAAAAATATTCAGATTCAGGTCCGTGTCCGGGTTGGGACGGATTTTTAGTAAAATCCGTAACCCATCCCGAACCCGGCCGGGTTTAAAATTTCAAATCCACTACCGGTTCCGAAACATATTATTTAGATCCGAATCCGCCTCATTAAGAGCGAGTCCGGGGCGGGTCCGGGGCTAACCCGCCCCCATTTGATATTCCTAAATAAAATTAGTCCAGAAACGTGTCCAATCACGAGGTAGCACATTGCTAATAAAAGCACAATGTTTGTCAAATTTTCTATGTGAAGAAAGCTTAAGTATTAAGCGTTCTTAAGCATGGGGTTTACTTAAATATAAGGATTGTGTTTGTTTGTGGGATTTTGGATTAGGTTTTACTATTTCAATTTTTTTCTTCCAAAAAATAAATAAAACACATATTTTGATTTATTATATTGTACTAATATCTAATTTTACATCCAAAATATTATATCAATATATATGTTATTAAATAACTATTTCAATTCAAATTTTTATATTCAAAATCCAAACACAAAACCCCACAAACAAACACACACCTCGGTGTTCTTAAGTACAAAGTGTCATTTTCTTCTATGTGAAGAAAGCTTAAGTAGGAGGTATTTTTAAGCATGAGGCGTCCTTAAATAAATATGCCATTTTATTATGTGAAAAAAACTATTAAGCACAATGTATGATTAAGCATGAGGTGGTGCAACTCCCTATATAGACATATGTGGTGAAATGCTCCAGCAACGTTTCAATCTGTGATGAATTAGATACTAAGTGTTTATCTCAAGGACTTGTGCTTGTGTTTTTTATGACATGCTATGACCAAGGCCCGGGTATTGGCCAACAAACCTTTTGTAGTAGAAACAGATGTTTGTTATAGTGGTCTTGGAGTTGTTTTGATGCAGGACCATCACCCCTTAGCTTCATTAGTAATGCTCTAGGACTGAAGAACTTGGGGTTTTCCATCTATGAAAAGGAACTTGTTGTCATTCTCTTAGCAAGTGGAGAAATGGATCGTAGGGCATATTTGTTGCATGCCCCTTTTATCATAAAAACTAATCAAACAAGTTTGAAATGAACAGAAGCTCTCTACTCCCTTGCAACATAAATATCTAAACCAAACTCCTTGGTTTTGATTATACCAACCCATTGAGTATAAACATGGAATGGATAACAAAGTGACTAATGCTCTATCCATTCAAGGAGAGCATGGAGGTGAATGCTCAGCTTTGACAATTCTAAAGCCAATGAAAGGTTCAGAGTTTGATAGCCAAACTACTTGCTATGCCTTATCAAGTTTCCTATTACTCACTAGTATATGGACTGGTTAAATTTAAGAAGGCTGCCATGGAGGGTTGAAGTCGCAAATCATCAGCTTGATGCATAGATCTAGCCTTGGAGATGATTCTGAGATAAATACTACCTATCAAAGGATTTCCAATATCTTTTGGTGGCCGGGTCTTAGACAACAAGTTCAACAATATATGAGGACCTGCCATGTGTGTGAAATTAGTAAGAATGAGCATATTCACACTGCAAGTCTGTTGTGACCTTTGTGTATACGTGATCAAGCTTGGAGGCATATCTTTATGGATTACATTGAACAACTAGAGGGATACCATATGGGTCAGAGTGGATAGATTTACTTCATTGTCTTATCTCACCCATAGACTGCCTCACTCCATTGTGTTATACATTTTACTAATCAATTTAGGAAACAACTATATATTCTAATCCATTGTACGTGTTTGAATACAAAATAGATAGACTGAATCTGAAAGGGTCAACCGATGTCTAGAGAATTACTTGAGGTACAACACATCCTTCCATTCCTCTTTGGGTATGAGTCCTTTTGAAGCTTTTAAATTAACTCGATCCTTGGTTGGATGGTCCTATGTTACCTATCAAAGTCGAAGGTGTGCCAGGGAGACAATTGGCGAGATGGCTAGGTAATAGACAAGTGTCACCTGCTACTGAATTATTGATTCAATGGATAAAAAGATAACCATATTTCAAAACAATTTACTTGTACGAAAGACGTGTCATTCTCTTCCCCGATTCGACATATTGCTATTAAGACTACACATAATTGTCGAAAAGATCCGTTAATTTTAGCCTAGCCTAGAAAACTTACTAGTAGCGGCAAACTTGTAATCCATTAAACATGATAGCCCAAAAAGGTTAAAGATGATCTACAAAGATTGTAGATTTTGATAGAATCAAAAGATTTCAAAGTTTAAGACATGATGTTGATGATTTACACCATAAAGGTGAGACTTTAGAGAGAATATAAGTTCACAAGTTCATCAACATACTGAGATCATCTCTACTAATCTCTCTCTTATCTTTCTGTCCATATCTACTAAAAGCTTTTCTTGCCAGAAGTTTCTTCTTCTCCTGCAGCTGCATGATCCTCTCTTCAATTGTATTTCTGGCTATCAGCCTCACCACTTTCACATCCTCCTTCTGCCCGATTCGATGCACCCGGTCCATCGCCTGTTCCTCCACCGCCGGATTCCACCACGGCTCCATCAGGTACACTGTCGAGGCTGCCGTCAGATTCACCCCTGCATTCGAAGCCTTTAGGCTTGCCAGCAAGATCGTCGGTCCATCAGGCGCCGGGACGCAAAACTCTTTGATCACGTTTGCCCTCCTTTTCGCGTTCATTGTCCCATCCAGGCGGATCACTTTGAACCCCGCTTGTTTCAGAGGCTCTTCGAGCAAGATCAGCATTTTACGAAATTGGGAGAAGATAACCGACTTGGAAGACGGGTTTTTGGCTTTGGCTGCAGACAGAAGTTTTAGGAGAGTGGCTACTTTGGAAGATGATTTTAGGGACGAGGCTTCGACAGGAGCTGTCTGAGAAGAGTCTGGAGGAGCTTGGAAGAGGTCAGATTCAGATAGTTGATGGCGGCACATTGGGCAGCATGGCTTGCTCCGTTTCAGTGTCTTGAGAATGCACGATCTGCAGAAAATATGAGCACAGCATGTAATGACAATGTCCGTAGGCGGAGATATGCAAATCGGGCAGTCAAATCCTTCATCATCTTGTAACATTGCGAGCAATTTCTTCAACAAAGATGGGTTGTTCTTCACATCTGCAAGAATTCAGTCACCATATGCTTATCAGAAACACAAACAGCTAGAATAGGGAGGATCCTACAAACATTTCGCATATAATAGAATTAACCGATAACAAAAATTAGGCAAACACACGACAGTTTTTCCAAGAAATTAAATCGTTGAACAAGACATCATAGTTGAGTTATATGAAAAGAACTATAGCATCACATTCTTGGGGAATTTAAAATTTTGTATGTGCTCGGTTATGAATCAGTGAATACCTTCGATTTGGCTTGGAGGAAGAAGATCTCTGATTTCTGCTGGGCATAAGGAAAGATCGTTGCAAATTTGACGAAGCCTCACAAGGACACTAAGAACTGTATAATAGTTCCTCACCACTCCTTCATTGGAAACATAGCTCTCGACAATATCCCTGGCCTGTACTTCCATCTGATCATACACCCTGCGCTCTTCTTCATTTAGGTCAACGAATAAGGTCTCTATGGTTTTAGATGGCAATCCAATCAGTCCTTTGTCTTTCATTCTCCGTAATGAGATTGCTGCGATTAGCACCTGAAAACACAGTGCTTTGGCAATGTAAAATCTAGTCTTGGAAGATGGGTAAGAAATTTTACAGGCAACGATCCACTCAAAAGAGTGATTCACATGAGAGAATTGCTCCAAACCAATGACATTTCAACACTCTCTAGTACTTCACAAAAGCAAATTAACCATTAAAAGGAGCAAGGTATAAGTTTGAACTAGCCTGAGTTTTTGTTTACCATACACGAGTAAAAGTTACACTTTTAGTCCTACAAAAAGTGCTTCTTTTTATATTAACCAAATGACATATCAACATGTAGTAATAGACCAACAGTAATAATTTTAAACCTCTAATTTTTTAGCAAAGAATACATGATTATATGAATTATTGATATCAATCAGCACGAGACCAAAATTATTAAACAAGAGACTTAACTAGATAAATGTTGCTGTACATGTAGCTAAGATAAAATTGGGCATTATTGAGGGATTGGCGCGCTACAAAAGACACTCTCCCTAAGAGATTTTCATATTGTCATAACAACCTAAGAGATGAAGATATCAGTTTGATGCTTAACATAAAGCCAAAGCAACTGAGCTGACATAGCAGGACTATAAAATATCAAGAAAGCAGTTTATGATTCAACATTCACTCATATAGCAGGACTATTAGATTCTAAGAAAGCAATGCATGATTCGATATTCACTGACCTGCAACCGGGAGATACCCTTCTCATCTCCACGAACAAGGGGGCGCTCTATCAAACTATCCCAAAACTTTTTCAACGAGAGAGGCTCAAACTTAAGAAACGCCACTAGTGAATACAAATCACAGGAACTATTTTGCACAGGTGTCCCTGTAACAGCCCATCTCCGCTTTGCATTCAGTGCAAGAACTGCTTGACTCTGTTTAGCTTCCACATTCTTGATCACGTGAGCCTCGTCCAGTATAACTCGCCTCCACTCAATTTTATTAATTGGAGATCGGAATATAGTCTCATCAGACCCAAGCGTTGAATAGGTGGTCAATACTATATCATATCTCTGAAGTTCATTTGCATCTTTAGTCCGCTCACCGTAGTACATGTAAGCCTTAAGACTACCCTTTCTTGTGTGTTGCTCCAATTGCGTTATCCATGTCGAAAGAACGGAAGGCGGGCAAACAATCAGCGTTGTTTTGGGCTCAGAAGACGATAACTCATCAAGAGCGGGCCTTTTGCCTGCATCTTGAGTGTTGTTAAGATCTTCAGACTTCGTCTTTTGACTACCTCTCTTCCTTTTTCTCTTTCTTCCAAATAGTGCGATACTTTCCTCTTCTTCGTCGTTATTTTTAACATCTCCATTGCATGATTGATGTCCAGTATGGATCCATTTATCAAAGGCAATCAATGACAGCAGGGTAAGTGTTTTACCCAATCCCATATCATCCGCGAAAATACCCCCTCGCAATGGCTCTGGTCTTACGCCCGTTTGGTAATTAGTCAGCTCATTCACATAAAAACCATTTTTCTCAACCCAAAAAGGTGGTAGTTCAGTCGAATTCTCCCTACTGACTAACCATCCCAACCCTTCCTTTTGATATGGGAAAAGCTTTGATTTAATAATGTCTTGAGGGGGATCCAATTCCTCCGACACTCCTTCCATGCTTACTTTTGCTTCCAATAGTTTAAATATCTCATCCACACTCTTCTCAGCTGGAACGCCTTTCTTCTCTTTCACTGCCACCGCCTCCGACAATGTAAATGATGGATTGGCTTCCGAAATTAAATGCAACATACTGACATTGATAGCTGATTTGACTCTATCAATATCCTCCATTCTTGAGAAAATGTGAACCTGGCAGGGGATTCTGAAAGCGTATTTCTTACCAGGTGGCTTTGGCACAATTCCTATGTCACATTTATCGAAAGGATTTCCAAATCAAACACAAATCAATAAGAATGCGTATTTACAGATTAAACTCCAAAATTGAAAAATGAAACAATATTAGCACCTTGTTTGACTCCGATTTTACAAGAAGGAAGGAAACGATCAAATTGAAGAAATTCGAGAACGTAAAACTCATCAGGTAAAAGAGAAGTGCAAACCTTCGACTGTGATCAAACCAGCGTCGATCAAAGGGGAAAGTACCGCAGCGGCGGAGCGCTCAATGTGACCGACCTGAACCGACCGCATGTTCATAACTCTGATGGCGTTCCCGTCGAAGGGATTCGTATCCTCCCGGACCAGACCGACCAATTCGTGGCTACTGATTGTGCCCTGGTAATGGCGCAGGCCGACGACGTTGACAATCACGAAACCCACGAGGAAAATCTCGCCGCCGCCAGCGTCGTCGGGAGGGGACGGCCAGCGGTCGAGCCTCATGTACGTCTCGACGGGGTCCGGGCGATCATTCAATTCGGCGGCGATTTCCTCCATGGAAATGGATTGGGAGCTCGGTTGATTGAGATCTTGGGAGGGTTTTTGGAGGAGGGTTTGGTGGAATTTCTGGGACTCCTCTCCTCCTTTTAGCGGTTACTTTTTCGAAGACAGAAAAGGTTTGAAAAGGGAGAGATTTATTTTCAGTTCGAGCCTCAACTCTTCTCATATTGTTCAATTGCCCCTACTGTATTTAAAGCAGTCAACACCTGTCAATTTGCCAGAGTGAGAGTTGAAGAATTATTATTATTATTATTATCATTATTTCTATTTTTATTATTATTATTATAAGAAGTCCACCGATCCGATGTAGTAGTAAATTCTTACACTACCGCTCACCAACTATTCGTATTTATTTTGTATATCTTTTTTTATTTAAATACTTGTTGAATTAATATTTTTAAAGAAATAATATTATTTCTATAAAAATTTAAGAATTCTATATTTATTTTTTTTTTTTTTAAAAAAAAAGAGAGAGAAAAATATCAAATGTGTGAAGAAGTTGAGTTAACGTTGTTTTTTCTTTTGATTAAGTGAAAATAATTGTCAAATAAACCAAGTCCAAAAAAATTGAGTCTACTACAGCTTGGAGATTTTTGTCAATTTTTGAAAAGAGAAAATAAGTCCTGAAATTATAATTATGTTCATTTATAGGATTAAATTGTGAAATTAACATAATTATATACTATAATTAAGTATTAAAACTATCCGCATGTGTACAGAAATTATAAAATTAGCACCAGATCCATGATGGTGTTTTAATATATAATTAGTATAAGTATTTATAAAAATATGGTATTTTTAGTATAAAATATCACATTCAATTTCTTTTAATAAATAGGGTTTGTTTGATTTTAAATTGAATTTAAAATTTAATTAAATTGCATAAGTACTATTATATTTTAATAGTAATAAATATACAAAATATATTTTTATTTATTGTGTAAAATTCTCTATGTTAAATTAGAAAGTGCAACAAAATATTTTTTTGATTCAAAGTGATATTTAATTGTAATTATACGATTTTTTTACAAATAAAATATGTAAAAAAAATACTATTTAAATTTTTTTTATTCTTTTTAATTATATAATTAAGTGTGTATATACAACTCCAACGTCAGCTATTTTGATACTCCCTTCGTTCAACGTACTGTATCTGTTACACTGTAGACATGATATTTTAGGAGGAGTGTAATTAGTAGATAATTAAGAATGTATCAGTGAAAATAATTATCCTATAATATAAATAATTATAAATTAAGATTAAAATAACTAATTAGTTTAATTAAAATTAAAAAAATTTAAAATGAGATTAAAGTGTGTAATTATTTTTCAAAAAAGGAAAGTGACATAGTACGTGAGACGGACAGAAACGGCAACGTGGACATGGTATGTGGGACGGAGGGAGTATTTTGTATATAATTTAATTAATAAAAGAAAATTTTGCGCAATAAATTAAAATATAATATATTTTGTACATTTTTATTAAAAAAATTTATAATTTAAATATCTTATAAAAAAAATATTTTCGCAATCCCACTAAATTTTGTCCACTTTTTCTATTTTCGTATATTCCACGTAATTTGTCATTTTCTTTTGAAAATATAATTATACATTTAAATTATTTTTAAAATTCCTAATTTATAATTTTTTTTTTATTTTAAGTAAACTATTTATTCATGTTAAGCTTAATCTATAATTATTTTTATTAAATTATAATTAATTTTACTAATATATTTCTTAATTAATTACTATTTATTCAATATTTGTCTAAGTAAAAATGAATAATTTAAATGGAACTGAGAAAATATATTTGTGAAAATATCATATATTGAAAATTATCTTTTTAGAAAAATTGAAAATAAAGTTATCTTTGCCGTCTAAGCCCAACAAAAAATTTTAAATATTTCATAAGCAGTGGAAATGAAGAGCGTGTTTGTTTTATGTTTTGGTTTGAAAAAAATAAAAATAGCAGGAGATATAAAAAGTTGTGTAGATAATATAAAAATAATAAGTGTGTAATATATTAATTTTTTTGAAAAAAATATATTAAAAAAATTTTAAAAAAGAAACGAACTGAAATTTATTTATTTTTTATTTCACCACGTTCAAATATTCTAATTTTATTTAGATAGAGATTTTTGAAAGAATAATAATAATAATAATAATAATATAATGAAATGAAATAATAAAAATTGGTTTGAACATATGTTTAGCATGAAAATTGATATTAAATGTGATATTTTCAAAAATTATAATAAATTTTTTTTTACTAAAACTAAAATTTCTAATTGTATCTATATCCTCTATTTTTCAATTTATTAACAAAATCTAATTTAATATAATAATTAGTACATTCTCGTAATTTTGCCTTTTTGAAGAAAAGAATATTATTTTTATAATATTTATGGTATATTATATTGCAGTTAGCAATATACACACATGTCAGACATATTATAAAAATATTTTCATAATATATGATATTACATAGAACATGAATAAAATATACAAATATATGTATATATATATGATTAGGATGTCAGATATATTATAAAAATATTTTCATAATATATGAGATTACATAGAATATGAACAAAATATACAAATGTATGTATATATATATATGATTAGGATTTGTTTGGTTAGGATTTCGAACTGTGGATGGTTGTGTTTGGCTAGGATTTCAAACTGTGGATATTGTGTCTTCTTGAATGAATTTTTTTTTTTTTTTTTTTTTTTTAAGTGAGGAATGAAAAATTGTGTAAATAATATAAAAATAATAATATATGTAATATATTAATATTTTTTTAAAAACATGTGTGTATTTTTTTTCCTATTAAAAGAGCAAATCCTAAATTTATTATAACGGTTTGTTTTTCTTATAATTTTAAAGTCAAATTGATATTATTCATTTCGTATAATTTTTAATAAAGATATATTATTTTTTCTCATAAAATATTAAATCAAAATTGTTACGCATGAAATTTATAATTAGGTTAAAAAGCCCAAGTTAGATGAATATGTGGGCCTACAATTGGGTCTGTTAGACTAATTAAGGGGTATTTTAAGACAATTGGCTGAACTAGACGTATTTCTAAAGAAATAGTCCACAGGACGGATAGTCCGCCGGTCGGATGGTCCGCAGGTCGAATAGTCCGCAGGACGGATGGTCCGCGGGTCGGATAGTTCGCAGGACGGATGGTCCGCAGGTCGGATGGTCTGAGGTCGGACCAACAAGTCGGAAGGACTGCGGTCGGTCCAAAAAGTCGGTTGGTCTGAGGTTGGACCAACAAGTCAGAAGGTCTGCGGTCGATCCAAAAAGTCGGAAGGTCTGAGGTCGGACCAACAAGGCGGAAGGTATGCGGTCGGTCCAAAAAGTCGGAAGGTTTGCGGTTGGATAGGCAGGTCGGTTGTTGTGGAAGTCGGATACTGCGGAGAGCGAGTGAGAGTAATAGTTTGGTCGGCTGAGAACACGTGTCAACAGAAGAGGAGTTAGCAGACGATTGAAAGAGAGGCGTTGTAATTGTTCGGGCGACGGTTCCAAGTACTGTTTTTGAGGAATATTTAAGGGTTGGGATCTGTAACTGACAGGGTATCTTCAATCATCTTCAAACGAAAGCAAAGTCAGTGATTCGGGGATCATCATTTAAATTTTCAGTATTTTACTTTCCAGTTTATTTTCTGTACCGTACAGTGTTTAGAGATTCCTAATCTCAGGCGCTAAATATATCAAATTCGAAGATTTCGGATTTTACTTTTTTATTGTTGAAAAAATACATCAACAATTTGGCGACCACAGTGGGAGACAGGCAAGATTGCTGATCCTACATCAACAGTGAATTTCATACGACTGAGGTCCGGCCGAATCATCAGAAAAATCAGTATGGCAAGCTCACAACCTCAATCATCATCAGCACCGGTGGGAGAAAACATTTCACCACCCGTCATGCCAAATCCAGGGGAGATTCCCCAACCACCTACCGATTGGTTGTCTTATGTTTAACAATTGAACAATCAGCAAACTTCAGCAATGCAGAATATGTTGCGCGAGCAACAAAACATCATGTTGCGCGAGCAACAAAATCTCATGCAGAACATGTTAGATCAAGCTTTATCAAGGGTTACTCTTCAACCCACTCAGACGCCGCCAGGAATATCACCATCAAGAATGCAAGCAAATTTCGCAAGGCCATCATACGTTGACAGCACACTTCCAAGCGCCACAACGTTCAACCAAACAGATAGGGGAAAGACTCCTCTAACTTTCCCTAATAATGTTCCTTTGGAACCAAGAGTTGACAATCTGCAGCCAAACATTGTCAAGGAAGAGAGGCAAGGAGCACATGTGCAAGATCCCATCTTCATCCCTGATCAACAACACCCTCGTGTGGATCCTGAAGAGATTGCACAAGTATTAAGAGTACATTTCGACCTGAATCCTCAGATGGCCAATCGCCCTGCTTATCAAAGGCTTTTCCCCGAAAGGATCATTAACGACTATCCACTGCCAAGGAATTATCGACCACCTGATTTCCATGCTTTTTCAAGGGAAGATGGATCCTCCACCATAGAGCATGTGGGTCGCTTTACAACACAATTAAGGGAAGTTGGAAATAATCCTTTTTATAAATTGCAATTATTTGGGTTATCTCTCACCAGAACAACTTTCTCATGGTTTGTAAACCTGCCACCTGGGCAAATACAAACTTGGGAAGGGTTGGAAATGGCGTTGCATGCTAGATTCTTCAATCCTTTACCAACTATTTCTCTTACCGATTTATTGGAATTGAAGCTATATCCAGAAGAGTCAGCCTCACAGTTTATTGAATGGTTGCGCTTGATGAAAGGACGTTGCCTACTATAATCAATGAAAAAGAAATGACCAATTCAGTGGTCAAGAATATGCATGGCCGCCTAAGAGAGGCACTGACTGCTCATGATGTGGAAGATCTGGAAAGTCTTGCTTCCAAGGCTGGGCGTTTAGAGTCTCTTTTCAAAGAAAATGATCAGAATTTTAGGCGTAATAAAGTTCAGCATATGGCGAGTATGGAAACAGAAGCATACGACTTTGATTATGATCAGACAGAAGAAATGGCGGCCGAAATCATTTCAGGAAAGCCTTATGT